AAATAACATGCATACAAGTCTCAGTCATACAAAGTTGCACAAATAGTTTATATAATTTAAAACAAAGACATAAATTACTCTTCACTACCATCAATCCCAAACCATTAAGCCCAGCGTCCACCTCTTCCTCTTCCTCTTCCACGATGTTCTCCAACTGATGAAAATCTTTTCTGTTGCAGTTTTCCTTTCTTTACTTCATATTCCGGAGGTAAGACTTCTTGTGCTTGTATCTCTTCAGGTACAACCCATTCAGACATATGAGGAACTGGATAGATTTTCCTGGAGTATGCCAATGCCCATAGCTCTACCAAATAATATTTGGAGCAAAACTCTTGTAGATGAAGTTCCCTATCTCTGCTCATATGGATGGCAGCAGCAATTGCATGCATACATGGGTATCTGTCTATATCAAAATACTTGCAAGAACAAGTTTTCCTAGTCATATCAACCAAATAATTCTTTCCATCAAGCCCAATCACATTGTTTTCATGGAGATAGATGCTTAACTCTTGCACCATGAGTTTATTTGCATCCACACATCTTAGATCCATTTCGTTCTCCACCAAAGGCACAAGCTTCTGTGACAGTGGGACTCCAGCAGCAGTCTGCATATGGGTGTTCCACCATTCAGCCAATTTGACAACAATTACATCAATCATTGGCAACATCGAGTACTTTCTTGCGTTTACAAAAACACCATTGATAGATTCTATAGTATTAGTGGTATCTATGTTGTACCTTTCTCCTGGAAAATAGCATCTTGCCCATTTTTTCTCATCAATACTTTTGTCTAGATACTCAGCAGCAGATGGATATTTCATCCTATAAGCACTATAGAGTTTTCCGAACTCAACCTCTGTATAAGCTTTAGCGCACTCGATGAATTTCTTCGCACATGCATCTCTGTGGGTGGCAACGTGTCCTTTCACATTCTGTGACAAATGCCTTACACAATACCCATGTTGAGACAAAGGGAACACTTCCCTTATTGACTTGATTAAGCTTGGATTCCTATCCGAAATAAACACCATTCCAGGGACATCTGGTGTTACTGACTTCAACTGATTCAGAAACCACGTCCAACTTGCATCTTTCTCACCATCAACTACACCAAAAGCAATGAGATAATGATGATGATCAGGATCCTGAGCTGAAGCAACGATTATAACACCACCATATACGTTTTTCAGGTGGGTTCCATCTATAATGATGACTTTCCTCATCGATAGAAACCCTTTTGTGCAAGCTCCCAATGCAAAGAATAGGTACTTAAACCTTTTTTGCTCATCTAATTCCACACAAGTCCGTGTACCTGAATTCACTTTCTCTAGCATGTACAAATAAGAATATAGCCACCGATAACTCTCCTCAGAACTTCCCTGCACCTCATTAGCAGCTTTGTTTTTTCCTCTCAGCGCTGTCGAGTATGATACTTTCACGCCAAGCCTGTCTTGAACCATATTGATCAGGGTTTTTGGGTCTGGTGTGTTGAATCGACCTAGATAGTCTTCAGCCAAAACAGCCGCAACTAAGTGTGGTGTGCCTTTCCTTTTTTGTCTGATTGTACTTGTAGTAACCTGAGAGCATGTGTGCACCTTGTTATAAGTGACAATAGTGAAACTATTTGAGTTCATACGCACAGAAGCTCTTAAACCCCACTTGCATCCCTCTTTTGCTCCCCAACATTTTGCCATGAAACGTGTGGGTTCAAACTTTTTCGTTTCATACTCAAAACCATTCTCATGTGCACCTTCCTGCAGGAGAGCTTGCAGTCCCTACCTAGTGTCAAATTCTTGACCTTTACATATCTAAACCATCTTCCCATTCATGATTTACTTGCGAGTTACCATCATAATATCTGACTTCTGTATCATCATACACCAGCTCATATCTTTGTAGAGGATCTGTAACATTTTCTTGCATCTCATTGTCTTGCATTTTATTGTCTTGCATTTCACTGTCCGGTATTTCTAAACCATCTCTAGCGGTAGAAAATAGCTCATCATTACTCGGACCTACATCAACGTCAACTCCATAATCCTCTCTTGAAACATGCACGCTTCCATGACTTTGATCAACATCCTTGATGGACTCCACATGTAGAACACTTCTACATTGATCTTTACTCATTTGTAGTAGATAACCAAAAACATTTTTGTCATTCCAAATATATGATGGTTTCTTCGTGTTCAAGACCAATGGATAGTAACTAATTTTCAGCTGAAATGTAGCTGCATCTATCAAAACCTTTTTGCGAATTCCCTCCACTAATCCAGCATAAGTGACATCCTCCAAAGATTTCCTCATCACTAAAGTGTGAATCTCATCTTCTACAGAATTCCATATAATTTTATCACCGTCTTTTGAATAGAATCCCCCATAATCAAAACATATGACTGTGCAACCACTGTTACTCATTTCTCCTGAAAAGAACAAAACATTCGTAAGGTAATCTTATCATAGTTATACCAGTTTTACTAGTCGTACTAATTCATTTAAGATGTCCTGTTATGCTAGTTGTACCCAGTAGTATCCATAAAGTTTGGTTCATCCTAGTCGTACTAATTCACTTAATATGTCCAGTTATGCTAGTTGTACCCAGTAATACCCAGAAAGTTTGGTTAATCCTAGTCGTACTAAATTCACTTAATATGTCCAATTATCCTAGTTGTACCTAGTAGTACCCAGAAAGTTTGGCTCTACCTAGTCGTACTAATTCACTTACTATGTCCAGTTATGCTAGTTGTACCCAGTAGTACCCAAAAAGTTTGGTTCATCATACGAATCATCACCATTTATTATGATGCATTGCTCAGTTAACCAAGATATCCCATTTAATTAACAATATCAGTTTCTAATAGCCTTACCCAATTAGCTAAGTGACTCCATTGAGCAAAAAAAATCAAAATTTCTTTACTATGAAATTCTTTAATCCAGAAGAAACTATGTATTATTTTATTTTGCCTATGACATAAACTTGATAATTCAATCATGAATCAAAAATTAGCATACAAAACGATTAAAAACAGCCACAACTAACCTTCAATTTCACGTCTCTGATTTTGTTAATGGTGGAAACGTGAGAGGAAGAAGAGGAGGAAAGAAGACGACGAGAGGTGCAATTAAATTTTGGTTGGTTTAGAGAATTAAATTTTATGGTTGCTTTGAATTACATTTCTTACCAAACCACCTGATTTCTTTTTTTTTCGAATTTTTTTTTAATAAAAATAAAGGAAAAAACAATCAATTCATTAATGGGAGGGGCAGTCAGATTGGAGGAAAACAGTTAAATTTTTGTTGTTGTACGGAGACGCATTTGAGATTAAAGTGGGTGAAGAGCTAATATACCCTTATGTGTTTAGAAATAATCTCATTATCCCCCTTATAATCTCACTACCCCTCTCTTATTTTTCTCTTTATTTTACCTTCATTCTTCATCTTTAATTTAATAATATCATATTTCAACATAAATAAAATAAATAAAAAGAAAACAATAACCTAATTTAATTCTTAACTAATATTGAACCATTCAGGAGTCCCACATCTTCATCTTCTTCATAGTTTTTCTTGTTTTTTCATGGCGCCATAGTTCTGATTTCTTTTGGATTATTGGGTTATTGAAATTCTTTGCTAAGAGTCTTACATCAGTAAATAGAACCAGTTATAATCGTTAAACGTGCATCGAATTATCACGAATCGTAGTAAATTATTGTAGATTCGTAGATAAATATAAATTTTTTGGGTACATAAATTGGGTATTACTGGACCAACTAGTATTACTAAGACAACATATATTACTGAGAGAAATTGGGATATTGGATATTATTGGATGAAGCTATGGACATTAGCGTATTGCAGGCCGATTTATCTAATACCACACAAGTCTAATTGGATTGTTCCTGGCCATATACAAATCTGGTTGTTATACAACCGGATTATATCACAAAAGAAGGAAAACCTCAAAAAAAACTGGTTCCCATCAGTTGGAGAACACCGAGGAAAAGGGAGAGGAATATAAAGGGGGAAGAGGAAGAGGAGGGATTTTGTCATATTTGTATAGTGGTAATAGTGATGCTGGTTAAACTATGTAACTCTTTTGTGTTTATTTTGTGTCTTTGGAATACTAGGCACAACTAGTGCAACAACTAGTGCAACTGATAGTATCCAAGAGACAATTTTTTATATGATTAAAAAAATTATTAGAAAAACGAACATTCAGTATGAAACAAACAAAATTTTTGTTAGATAAATAACTATTAAGTGGTTAAGAAACATGTATTAACTGGTTAACCTAAATTGATGGCATAATTATTTGTTGTAAAGACATTTACACAACAAACAACATACACTTCTATGAACACTTTCTTAATACTAACCATCATATGAAGCCAAAGACACATACAATGAGTTTCAAAATATTTTTACGCATAAAAACCTCAGAATCAACAACATAATGAGTAAAATCATCTGTAAAACTACAAATAGAAAATTCAATATAAAGTAAAACTAAATAAAGTTGAAAACACCAAAAAATACAACTATTTGCAAATTGGTACAACTAAAAAACTACGGATAACTAAGTGTAATTTTAGCAGCGTCCACAAAAGAAAAAACGGCGCACATTTAATTTGGTGACACATATAATTAAATTTTTTTTTGCCAATATATATATACATACTGTATATATTTTTTGTTTATTTTTGTTTGGTTCAGTAATTTCATCCAATACTTCCTATGCAACCACACAACTTCCATAGTTCAACTACACGTGTGAGAATAAAAGATCAATTTCGCTGCCACGTATAGTTCACGTGTCTTTGTTTCAAAGCTTTCACTCTCAAGGCAGTGGTTTAACGGTTAAACTTTAACCACAGAGATGAAGAACAAAACCACTTCACACAATAAACAGAATGCTTCGATTCAATTTCCGTCATGAAATCTGCAAATATACCGGATTTTTTCGCCGGAAGAAACATAACAATCTCGAAGATGCAGGCCCAATGGCGTCTCGGCTTAAATCTTGTTCCATTGTCCGGTTTAGCGGACCAGATAGAGTTAAATTTCTTCAGGGTTTGTTGACCAACGATGTACCGAGGTTCAGTGAATCCACCGGCGAGAAAAGCTTGACGGTCCCTACTCCGAACATGGCTTTTGTAGCGACGCCGCCTATGTATGCGACGCTATTAACTCCTCAAGGAAGGTTTCTGTACGATTTCTTCTTGTATAGCTCGACATGGCTGAAGGAAAAGCTCGATCGCACTAGTTCTGGACCCGGGTCGGATTTGGATTTGGGTCGTAGTGGGTCGATTGAGTTGTTTGCAAATGTTGATGTCGCTGTTCTCGATGAATGGCTGAAAACACTAAAAAAAGTAAGCATTTTTTCTCTCACATTTTCAGCAATTGGGACTTAGCAATGCCCTCGAAGAAGCGTTTGATCAGAGCTCATTCAATTGATAGTTGTCGAGTAAATAAAGTCCCAAAAATATAAGAACACAGCGGAGATTGGTTGCAAACAGGAAACAGATGGTAAACATTGGTGAAAATAGATCAAACTCGACCACCACAATTGAAAGCGAATCTATCATAGTTGTATCTTCTAGATCTAGGACTTACGAACTCTGATTAATAGGAATGGAACACACATAATTGGTTTTTTATTTTTTCTGGAATCTATACGAAGAAAACGATAACAAAAAAAAGTTTTTTAAATTTAATTATTATTAAATTGTAAGATCTATTTGGTTTGAGTTTGGATGGATAACCCGATTTTGTTGTGGATGAATTGTAATATTTCATATTCATTAAGAGTTTAAAGGATATTGACTATGTTTTGGTTTAAAAAACAAAACACAAAGAAATTATCAAATATAACGGGAGTATTTCAGCTTAAAAATTTTATGCTGAGAATATTTCAGCTATTAATCCGATTAAAGTACTTTATTTTATTTAGGTTTGATAGAGATTCTCTTTCTCAAAATTAAAATTTTCTTTTTCTTTTCTTTCTTCTTTTACATTATTTCCTTTTTTTTCTTAAAGTCAAACAGTCAAACGTTCATTTGTTCTTGTTGTTTACTTTTCTTTGAAAAAAAACATTTTTTATTTATTTTTATTTTTTATTTAATAATTTTTTTATCAAATTTTATCCTAATCCCTAGAGCCCAACTTAGGTCCAAATAGTCTATTCGTAGTCGTATCATCATCGTCTCTGTTCTCTAACGAACCGATACAAGAGTTCCGTGGAGATGACAAGCGAACTTCGATTCTGCAGCGGTGAATGAAGCTTACCGGAAAATTAGAGGACAGAGGATTTTGAGGAGACAGTGAGGAAGAGACATGTTGGAATTTCTTTCAGAAACAGAGATAAAAATAACTTATTGTGAAATATGATTGGGTTTATATTCTCCCAGCCCATAGGCCCAACCTTTGCCCAAATAGTTTATCTCCGGTCGTACCATCATCATTTCTGTTCGTCGCAGTCGAATCAAAGCATGGACTTTAATCTCATATGCCCTCCCGTACAGCCAAGAAAATCTAACTGCCCCCCTCTAATCTCACTGCCCCTCTCTTCAATGAATTGACTGTTTAGTCCTTAATGAATAAACAAAAACAAATCGAAAAACAAATTAAAAAGAATAAAGAATTTCGGGTGGTTTGGTAAGAAATTTAATTCAAACCAACCTAAAATTAATTGTCTAAACCAACCAAACCAACCACCAAAATTTTTGCACCTCTCGTCGTTTCCTTGTCGTCTTCTTCCTCTCATGTTTCCACCATTGACAAAATCAGAGGTGTGAAATTGAAGGTTAGTTGTTGCTGTTTCTTATACTATTTTCGATTTCTTGATTGAATTATCAAGTTTATGTCATAGGCAGAGCAAATAATACATAATTTCTTCTCAATTAGAGAATTTCATAGTAAAGAAAATTTTGATTTTTTTTTTGTTCATTGGAGCTGCTGAGCTAGTTGGGTAAGGCTATTAGAAACTGATATTGTTAATTAAATATGATATCTTGGTTAACTGAGCAATGAATCGTAAAAACTAGTGATGATTCGTATGATGAACCAAACTTTCTAGGTACTACTGGGTACAACTAGCACAACTGGACATATTAGTACGAGTAGGATCAATCAAACTTTTTGGGTACAACTAGCATAACTGGACATATTAAGTGAATTTAGTACGACTAGGATTAACCAAACTTTCTAGGTACTACTGGGTACAACTAGCACAACTGGACATATTAAGTGAATTAGTACGACTAGGATGAACCAAACTTTCTGGGTACTACTGGTATAACTAGCGTAACTGGACATCTTAAGTACGACTAGTAAAACTGGTACAACTATGATAAGATTACCTTACGATTGTTTTGTTCTTTTCAGGGGAAATGAGTAGCAGTGGTTGCACAGTCATATGTTTTGATTATGGGGGGGTTCTATTCAAAAGATGGTGATAAAGTTATTTGGAATTCTGTAGAAGATGAGATTCACACTTTAGTGATGAGGAAATCTTTGGAGGATGTCACTTATCTTGGATTAGTGGAGGGAATTTGCAGAAAGGTTTTGATAGATGCAGCTACATCTCAGCTGAAAATTAGTTACTATCCAATGGTCTTGAACACGAAGAAACCATCATATATTTGGAATGACGAAAATGTTTTTGGTTATCTACTACAAATGAGTAAAGATCAATGTAGAAGTGTTCTACATGTGGAGTTCATCAAGGATGTTGATCAAAGTCATGGAAGCGTGCATGTTTCAAGAGAGGATCATGGAGTTGACGTTGATGTAGGTCCAAGTAATGATGAGATGTTTTCTACCGCTAGAGATGGTTTAGAAATACCGGACAGTGAAATGCAAGACAATGAAATGCCAGACAATGAGATGCAAGAAAATGATACAGATCCTCTACAAAGATATGAGCTCGTGTATGATAATGATACAGAAGTCAGACATTCTGATGGAAACTCGCAAGTAAGTCATGGATGGGAAGATGGTTTAGATATATATAAAGGTCAAGAATTTGACACTAGGCAGGGACTGCAAGCTCTCCTGCAGAAAGGTGCACATGAGAATGGTTTTGAGTATGAAACGAAAAAGTCTGATCCCACACGTTTCGTGGTAAAATGTTGGGGAGCAAAAGAGGGATGCAAGTGGGGTTTAAGAGCTTCTGTGCGTATGAACTCAAATAGTTTCACTATTGTCACTTACAACAAGGTGCACACATGCTCTCGGGTTACTACAAGTACAATCAGACAAAAAAGGAAAGACACACCACACTTAGTTGCAACTGTTTTGGCTGAAGACTATCCAGGTCGATTCGACACACCAGATCCAAAAACGCTGATCAATATGGTTCAAGGCAGGCTTGGCGTGAAAGTATCATACTCGACAGCGCTGAGAGGAAAAAACAAAGCTGCTAATGAGGTGCAGGGAAGTTCTGAGGAGAGTTATCGGTGGCTATATTCTTATTTGTACATGCTAGAGAAAGTGAATCCGGGTACACGGACTTGTGTGGAATTAGATGAGCAGAAAAGGTTTAAATACCTATTCTTTGCATTGGGAGCTTGCATAGAAGGGTTTCTATCGATGAGGAAAGTCATCATTATAGATGGAACCCACCTGAAGAACGTATATGGTGGAGTTCTAATCGTCGCTTCAGCTCAGGATCCTGATTATCATCATTATCCCATTGCTTTTGGTGTAGTTGATGGTGAGAAAGATGCAAGTTGGACGTGGTTTCTGAATCAGTTGAAGTCAGTAACACCAGATGTCCCCGGAATGGTGTTTATTTCAGATAGGAATCCAAGCTTGATCAAGTCAATAAGAGAAGTGTTCCCTCTGTCTCAACACGGGTATTGTGTAAGGCATTTGTCACAAAATGTGAAAGGACACGTTGCCACCCACAGAGATGCATGTGCGAAGAAGTTCATCGAGTGCGCTAAAGCTTATACAGAGGTTGAGTTCGGAAAACTCTATAGTGCTTTTAGGATGAAATATCCATCTGCTGCCGAGTATCTAGACAAAAGTGTTGATGAGAAAAAATGGGCAAAATGCTATTTTCCAGGAGAAAGGTACAACATAGATACCACCAATAGTGTAGAATCTATCAATGGTGTTTTTGTAAATGCAAGAAAGTACTCGCTGTTGCCAATGATTGATGTAATTGTTGCCAAATTGGCTGAATGGTGGAACACCCATAGGCAGAGTGCCGCTGAAGTCCCACTGTCACAGAAGCTTGTGCCTTCTGTGGAGAACGAAATGGATCTGAGATGTGTGGATGCAAAGAAACTCAGTGTGCAAGAGTTAAACAGCTATCTCCATGAATACAATGTGATTGGGCTTGATGGGAAGAATTATTTGGTTGATATGACTAGGAAAACTTGTTCTTGCAAGTATTTTGATATAGATAGATACCCATGTGTGCATGCAATTGCTGCTGCCATCCATATGAGCAGAGATAGGGAACTTCATCTACAAGAGTTTTGCTCCAAATATTATTTGGTAGAGCTATGGGCATTGGCATACTCCAGGACAATCTATCCAGTTCTTCATATGTCTGAATGGGTTGTACCTGAAGAGATACAAGCACAAGAAGTCTTACCTCCGGAATATGAAGTAAAGAAAGGAAAACCGCAACAGAAAAGATTCCCATCAGCTGGAGAACATCATGGAAGAGGAAGAGGAAGAAGAGGTAGAGGAAGAGGGAGAGGTGGACGCTGGGCTCAATGGTTTGGGATTGATGGAAGTGAAGAGTAATTTATGTCTTTGTTTTAAATTATTTGAACTATGTGTGCAACTTTGTATGACCGAGACTTGTATCCATGTTATTTCTATCAGGTATGACTAGGCACCACTAGTACAACTCTATATTCCGCGTCTAATACGACTGGTACGACTGGTGCGACTAGTACCACTCGTTTCAAGTACAACTAGTTCAACTACATTTTAGTTGTACTAAAGTCCAACTAGGAAGACTGGTACGACTATGCTTTCTACAAAAATGTCAATAACACAAGTTGTAAATGTATTTGTAAACATTTTTCCATATAAAATAGGCCATAGAACATTTGCAAACATATTTGAACATTTCATAGTTAAATAAATTTGATCAACGAAAATGTTTGATCCATGAAAATGTGTTCTCTACACAATCTACCTTATACTTTTAAGGTTACTTTGTAAATCTTAACCACACAAACATGAAAACCATAAAAGTTTGTATTTTTATACTAGTTATAGCATTAGAATATTAGTTTATTTACAAAATTTTACAAGTACAGCTAAAAATGTTTAATTTAGGTATGATACTACTGATTACAAAATTTTACAACTTTATGTCTCTAGGGTACAACTCAAAACTGGGTACAACTATGTTATAAAAAAACTGGGTTCAATTTTTTTTTTGACGGCCCAAACTTGCAAAGATATTCATTTCCTCTTTTGACGGCGCACGTGACTTCATATTTTATCCATTTTTAACTTCATTTTAAACATGTTTTTTTTGCATGCACACGTTTTCTTTGCTGCCACACGTTTTTAAAATTCAGATCTAGTTGGTCTAGTTCTGCTAGTCGTACCTTTTAATTCAACACATAAAAAAAGACTTGCATAAAATATATACGTCCAAATCCTGAAAAACACAAAGATAAATTCTAACATAGCAGATAATGACACAACATAAGTTCAAAGGCCTAAGTTACTTAATAACAATCCTTCAACAATCGTGAACGAGTAACCTTCCTTTTTCGCTTGGGAGTCTTACTCTTCTTAATTAATTTCTTTGCTGCTTGGGCTTGAAGACTAGGTCGTTTCTTGATTTTCACCTTCCTAGGAGTTTGGACTGTATCGGCATCGTCTCCACCTAACAAAAACAAACAAAAATCGATGAAACTCATTATATCAAAAATAAATCTCCAATGGTTTGGCTCATTAAGGAAGATAAATCTCCACTTACCAGCTAGAGCCTTTTCCATAGCCTTATCCACAGCCGCTAACACTATCTCCGCAGCTGCACTAGCCTCAGCCGCCACAGTCTCCACGGTCTTCGCAGCCTCCATCATCTCCGAAGCTGCCGCAGCCTCAACCTCAGCCTTCTCCGCAGCCTCAACCTTCTCCCTCTCTACAGCCGCTGCAGCCTCCGCCTCAGCCTTCTCCGCCTTCTCCTTCTCCGCCTTCTCCTTCTCTTCAGCTGCGGCTCTCTCCGCCTTCTCCCTCTCTACAGCCGCAGCAGCCTCCTTCTCCGCAGCCTCCTTCTCTGCAGCCTCCTTCTCCGCAGCCTCCTTCTCCGCAGCCTCCTTCTCCGCAGCCTCCTTCTCTGCAGCCTCCTTCTCTGCAGCCTCCTTCTCCGCCTTCTCCTTCTCCTTCTCTTTAGCCGCGGCTCTCTCCGCCATCTCCCTCTCTACAGCCGCAGCAGCCTCCGTCATCTCCTCTTCAGCCGTTTTCTCTGTGACATAAAAAAAAGAGTCAAATAAACTTCAATATTCAAAACAAAAAAATTCTCAAAAATTGTTTCTTACCGAAATCATCATTTCCACCATACTGAAAATCTGGAGGATTTCTTTGCTCTTCCACGAAGCTCTCCACAGCTACCAACCTTGTATCCAAACCTTGAATCTTGTCATTAATTTCCTTGAACCCTTCTTCCATTAATTTCATCATCCTTTTCAATTGCTCGGATATTGGCTCAATCACAACTGCAGGTTCTTGTTCAGCTGGCTCACCTATTGCCGCACCTTCGTTTTGGACATCTTCTTCTTGGACATTTTCTTTTTCGACAACTCGGGATTGAACATCGGCCATGCAGACATCCTCCCACTGTATCTTCCCTTGTTGGTGGACTATAAACTTGTTCCACCCATCAACAATAGGGTCAGCTACATCTGAATCATCCTTCAGTTCAAAGTCCTGCCACTGTGTCTCTTCCATGGCCCTCTCTATGAGATCTACTTCCTCACCCTCAGCAGTCAAAATACTAGTAATGTCCTGAAGTATAACGGAAAAAAAATTAAACCGATTAATTAATTAGTACGACTAGTACTAATATTAGATCAACTACTGTCAAACTACTGTCAAACTAGTACGACTAGTACGAATATTAGACCAACTACTGTCAAACTACTGTCAAACTACTGTCAAACTAGTACGACTAGTACGAATATTAGACCAACTACTGTCAAACTACTGTCAAACTAGTACGACTAGTACGAATATTAGACCAACTACTGTCAAACTAGTACGACTAATACGAATACTAGGCCAACTACTGTCAAACCAGTATGACTAGTACGATTACAATTGATCCCAATAACAAAAAGTAAAATACCTTTGTATCTCCAAGATGCTCATTTATTGAACCCAGCGAATATCCAGTTGTGCCAGTCTGCGTGAACTCCCATTTGCATATTCTTGGACAATCATCTTCTGCATTTGTTGCTTTCACCCGAAATTGTGTCTTCAAGGTTGTAATACATTTCGTACGCGCCATGAGATTGATAAATTATGAATTTGATCGGTGGTTTAGGTTTCAGAGAAGATGAAAAGTGGAAATCGGTGGTTTATCGAAGAAGATGAAAAGAAGTTGTAAAAGTTGACGGTTTGATCGAAAAGTTAGGGATTTGGAAGTTGTTTTTGGTTTTTTGGGCTGAATTTTGATTTAGGTTTGAGCCGGATTTAGATTTAGGTTTAGGCCAAAATCCAATAGCTATTTGGTTGGTTGATTCGTAATTTAAAAAATTTTGGATATCTTTCATTATCATTTCATGCATTTTCGATTAAAAAAAAAATGAAAAAAAACAAAATATTATAACTAGGAAAAATCAGATTATATCTGTGCAGCGAGGGGCATCTGAGATTACTCAAAGCATCGCATCGCCCAAGTTTCGTCGGTCTGAGATTCTCCGTCGAGTCTGGGATTCAAAATCACTCTTTAGTCTCTGCTCTTCTGATGTATACGAAGAGAGTATTGTTTCACAGAGTGAATTTTGCTCTCATCGAATCTCGTTCTTCCTCCTCTTCTGAATCACTAAACAAAATCCACAAATTTCTGCGGAATCTCTGCACGGCGTTAGACTTTGGAAACCCTAATGAGTATCGAAATGAGGATTCATCAAATTTCGCTGGTGATATAAACTCTAGAACATGGAATAGAGATTATGGGGGAAGCCAGAGTTTGGGTTCTAATTCGATGGTCCAATCTCAGTATCAACGAAACCTCAGTTCCAACAGCAATTGGAACAATCCAAGCTATGATTATCGAAATGGTGGATCAGGTAACAAGACTTTTGATTGCAACATAGAAGACAAGATTGAGGATTTTGATGAATTCTGCCAACAACATAATCCCAAACTGGCCTTAGAAGCTATGAAATCATTGGAGAAGATGGGTCATGTTTTGGATTTAGCTAGGCTTTTAAGGTTAGCACAGCTTTTTGGGGAAGAACATAGTTTTCAAGATGTCAAGGCTTTACAAGAGGCTAAAGTAGATGTTCACGGGAAGATCAGAGCTTTGGTTTACCATTTAGATGCAAACTATCTAAAGTATTACACTGATATCGTGATTGAAGAATTCGATGCGTTTTGTAGAAGAGGGAATGTGAAGAAGGCTCTATATATTATGGATACATTGTCAAGTATGAGTCATTTGTTGGATTTGAACAGACTTTTAGTATTAGCCAAGCTATGTGGAGAAGCAGAGGCTTTACAAGAAGCCAAGACCGTTCACGGGAAGATTCGTTCTTCGTTTTGCGGTTTAGATGTGAGTTCTTATCATGTATTGATAGAAATGTATTCAAACTGTGGATTGTTGAATGAAGCATCGGGTGTTTTTGAGGAAATGCCTGAGAAGAGTTTGGAGACTTGGGACATTATCATAAGATGTTTTGCGAAGAACGGTCTAGGAGAAGAAGCGATTGACATGTTTACTCGTTTTAAAAACGAAGGAAACAAACCCGAGGCTCGGTTATTCAGAGGAGTGTTCTATGCTTGTGGCTTCCTAGGTGATGTCGATGAAGGGTTGTTGCATTTTAGATCAATGTCTAAAGACTATGGCATCATCCCTACCGTGGAAGACTATGTAAGCATCGTTGAGATGTTTGCTTTACCGGGACTATTAGACGAGGCCTTAGAGTTTATTGAGAGAATGCCTATGAAGCCAAACGCTGATGTGTGGGAAACATTGATGAATCTCTCTCGTGTACACGGGGATTTAGAGCTCGGAGATCGGTGTGCTGAGATTGTGGAGGTGTTAGATCATACGCGACTGAACAAACAGTCGAGGGAAGGTTTTCTACCGGTGAAGACATCGGATATCGAGAGAGAGATTCTAAAGAAAAGGTCAGGGATCCTTGGGCTTCATGGGATCGGGACTGGTAAGACGCATGAGTATAAGGCAGGGGATATGAATCTACCGGAGAACGACGAACTCTTGGAGCTATTGAGGAACTTAAAGGTGCATATGGTGGAAATGGGATATGTACCTGAAACAAAGGTTGCCTTACATGATGTAGACCAAGAGACTAAAGAGACGCTGCTTCTTGCTCATAGCGAGAGGATAGCTTTTGCTCGTGCTGTTCTCAACTCAGGACCTCGTAGGCCTTTCACTGTGTTAAAGAACCTCCGTGTGTGTGTTGATTGTCATCATGCGTTGAAGATTATGGCTAGTATAGTTGGTAGAGTAGTGACCATGCGAGACGCAAAGAGATTCCACCATTTCAAAGACGGGAAATGCAACTGCGGAGACTATTGGTGATCAAATGGATAATCTTGAGGTGTGTTCTTTTGGTAAAATCATCATTTTCGTTTTGTGAAGCAGGTTTTATCTTGATCCGATTCTTAGGAACACATCCTCAACAGAGACAAGCTTGCATCAACCTCACTTTTCTCGTCCATGTATTGTTATAATATTTCGTTTTCTCAATTCGGCAATTAAAGTTGTTTGAGAGAGATTTTTGTTAGTTCTTATGGTGATGATGATAGTTTGTCATATTTAGACAGAATCCAAGCGTGTCTTGTTATTACATTCTTCTTCTGATGCACATGTTGATTTGAGTATAGAAACAAGTAGAATACTTAAATTAGTTTCTATTTTCATCAACATACATTCGACCAGAATCTAGGTGGTGGTGATATAATGCATGGTTTCAATATTTATAGAGATCTTTTTGGGATAAGTTAATTTTCTCTTTTGACGAAACAATGCTGAATACTTTCATTACATGAAAAAGAGAAGATTTAACGAATTGTATACTTTCATTACTTGTCTAAACAATTTAAAAAAAAATAGTTTCATACATAAGAGAAAAGAAAAAAACAGAAAAGATTTAACGAATCTGTATACTTTCATTACTTTTCTAAACAATTTTTTTTAACAAAAAGTAGTTTCATACATAAAAGAAAAGAAAAGAAAAACCCTAGATTATTCATAATTCCTTGCACACAACTCCACGGCAGAGAGGACAAGATTTACGCCTCACTAACCACTCGCCGATACATCCAATATGAAACTGATGCGAACAATTCAGCGAAACTCTCTTCGTTTCATTGTCTTCTTCGTCACGCAAATCCCCAAAACAGATCGCACATGTCGGTTCCCCTTCTTCTTCCTCCTTTTGGGTCTCTTTTTCCTCAAACTTATCTTTCGGCAAAAGGAAGTTACTGGACATGAAGTTAGGTTGTAGAAACCCTTCGTCTTCAAGAAGCGCTTGATTAGCGATGGTCTCGGCGATATTATCGGACAAGAGATGATTATCGAGACGAGGATCGATGAGCGTGAAGAGATGGTTCGGGCTGAATTCGTGGCTTTTGAGACCCTCCAAACGGATTTGAGAGACGGTTCCGTCGGATTCGTGGAAGAGATTGATGCAAACAGAGATGAGTCTCGAGGGATGATGATGAGATTTGGTTTGATCGAAGTCGAAGAACATGTTCGCATCGAAATTTGCAGTAACAGATCCAGTCGCCATCTTCGTATTAGGATGAGATTTAACAAATCAAAAGCAGATAGAAAGAATGAAATCGATTGAAGATGTGACTTTTTGTTGATTTTATTTGGGTTTATAGTGTCCTTTTCTCAAACGACTAAAATTTCCTTTTTTTCCCTTCGTCCTTTACGTTATTTCCTTTTTTCTCAAAGTCAAATAGTCAAACGTTCATTTGTTTTTGTTGTTTCGTTTTCTTTAAAAAACATTTTTTTTTGTTTATTTTCTTTTTTTGGTTCCTTTATTCTCTACCAAATTTTAACCTAGCCCCAAGGGCCCAACTTAGGCCCAAGTAAAAATGTCAAAAGAAATCTTTTTGGTTACTGAAACGTCAAGCTTTGCATCTCTAATTTGCCAAAGAAGCTTCCACGTAATTTGTTTTTTAAGTCAACATAAAATTATTCTAAATCCATACTAAATATTAAATAAAATATATAGTAACATAAAATAAATAAAAAGTATATATAATTTGATAACCTCTTGTAACGTCTAGTTTCGTTTTTGTATCTTTCATTAACGCGAAACCCTAATCCCAAAACCACTCGTCCAATAATTTTTTTCACAATCCCAAAAAATCCCAGAGGCAAAATTCTAATTCTTACGGTGATCGAACTTGCTTCAGACTTGCAGAAGGTAAATTCTTATTCAATTTCTTCTTCTTTTTGCGCTTTAATCATTGCTCCTGTTACACCCTTGATCACCACGAAAGTTTCTTCGATCGATATTTCTTAGTTGCTTTATTGATTTTACGCTCTTCTTAATCTGTAATCGCTTTGAAAGTTATCTCCTTTGTGTTACATCGTAGAGATTCTTCCGAATTGTAACTGTAAACGTTTCTTTTTTTCTTCGATTTTGTGGATTCCTTTAGTGAAAACCGAGTTTATGAAATAGAGAAAATTGCAATTGAGATCGTCTTGTTCTTTTTCAAATCAATTGTTTTTTGATCGAATGTTTTACTAAGTTTGGATAATTTTACTTTTGCAGGAATCATGAGATTCAGAAAAGGAACTAGAGTTGAGGTTTTGAATCTCAAAGAGGCACCTTATGGTTCGTGGAGAACGGCCGAGATCGTATCCGGTAACGGCCACACGTACGGCGTCAGATACTACGCTTTCGGGCTCGCGAACGACGGGGCCTTGGAGGAGAGAGTCGCGAGGAAGATAATCAGGCCGTGTCCTCCGCAGATCGATGTAGATAGATGGGAATCCGGTGAGCTTGTTGAGGTTCTTGATAACAACGTTTCTTGGAAAACCGCGACGGTTGTTGAGGAGTTATCCGGAAGATACTACGTGGTCCGGTTACTTGGCGCCGCCGCAGAGCTCAAGGTTCACAAAGTTAACCTCAGGGCTCGACAGTCTTGGCTAAATGAAAGATGGGTTATGCTTGGAAAGGTAATTTTTTTTATTTTTTCTTTAACGGTATTGTGTCTTTGAAGTAATGTTATCAAATTTCACTCACTGTTGTGTAATCATCTTCTCTTAGGTATCTTGCTCTGTGAAGTCGTCGACGCTTACCGGTTCGGATGTAAACCAGAATATTGATGCTTCTCGGAGGATGTTGAAGAGACCTTCGCCTTGTGACTGGTACGAGTCTGCTGAATCATGCACGGGAAGTCCTAAGAGGATGCGGTCGATGGAGGAAGAAGACCGGTTTGCTGCTGCTTCGGTTAACAACGGTTTCCGTCAATTGGTCAGGGTGAGATCAAAAAGGTTTAGTGAATGTGTTGTTGGTACAGGAAGCTCAGTCTCTAATGGTTGTTATGATGATACTGATGCGTGCTCGGTTGGTAGTTGTAGCGCTATTAGTTTTGATAATGAGAGTGACGCCTCAACTTCTTTTCTAGATGGTTCTCGTCAAGACGCCGACGACTCTTGTAGTAGTGATGCAGAGTCTTCAAAAGAAGCATTTGGATACAGAGAGGAAGATGGAGCGGTGAGATCCTCGTCGTGGAGACCTGAGCTATACACTTATCGCAGCGCATTGTGGAAGTTATTCGCTTCCGGGCCACTGAATTGGGATCAGGAAGCATCACTAACCGATCTCAGACTTTCTCTGAGTATATCAACTGATGAACATTTGATGGAGCTAAGGAATCTAAAGTCTGCTGGTACACAAAGTATATTTTGTTAGTATCAATCAGGATTTGTTCTTTTCTTTTTGATCCGTAACAGTCTTATCTCCAGGTGTTGGCCATACTTCCCAGAGGATTCTTATAATGATTGTATAGAGTATAGACAGCAGAAGGGAAAGTATGTATGGAAACTCCAATCCTCATTGTTTTGTTCTCTTCTTATAGTCAGCTTCTTGTTATAAATTCTGGATAATGAAGTTTAAGAAAAGTTACTGTATGCTCTAAGATGAGTCATGTTTTGGTTAGCTGTCTTTTATTCCATATATACTTTAGTTTCTTGTGCTTAAGCTTCTTGATAAGATGAGTTATTTGTGTTTTTCCTTCATCAATGGTGGATTATTGAGCTTCCCCTAAATTTTTCAGGAACAGTGTAGCCAAGGCAGATCTTGCTTGCTTCCTTTTGAGAGAGCTTACGCTGAGGCATTTGGTTATATGCTGGGTGGTGGAAACCACAAATGCCACTTCTTCCTCAATACATATTTTAAATTTGTGCTGCTGTTTTTCTTATTGGATATACACAACTGATCTGTTTCAGGTTTTGTTGAATCAACTTGTACACAGACGTTGAACTGTTCTCAGTCTAAGGAGAAACATTTAGAGTCTGGTTGGGTAAGTTTATCGATGATAGGTAAGTATTAAGTGACACTAAACAGAAAGTTTGTCTCCATGTGTCTTTTGTGGCATGTGTGCTGTGGAAACTCTGTTGGAATTGTACAGGCCATGAAAACCAACACCAAAACCTGGGATTAGGTGTTAAGAACTCGGAGTTACGCTTGTCAACTTCAAGTTTTGCCTTATGTCTTAAGCCCAATGAAATCGAAAAGACGTGAGAAAAGGAAGAAGAAGTTGGTGTTGTGAATATGTATCATTCTCTATATGTGCTTCTGTTTGCTATATACTTGCTTACTCTATGTAAGAAACTATCAATTAGATGTTACTGTCACGATTCTTTAATACCATTTTCATTCAAAATATTATGGTTGCTCACAAGTTGAAAATAATTTATTTCAATTTTATTAATCCAAACACTAGTCTCTTTGTAATTATTTCATTTGATTCTTCGTTATATAATAGATAAACATGTGACTAAGGCCAATTCAATTAGAAGAAGTTGTCTAGCGGATGTCATTCGCAAAGACAAAAAAAGGAAACTCATCCTCTGCTTCCACTTGGTTAACATTTTCTGCAAGCAAACAATCTCCTAGAGAATAAAGAAAACCAAACATCAAGAGGAAACTCGGGGTTGTCTGAGAGAGAGAAGTTTGATAGTTGTTCCAGATGGCCGAAGCTGTACAATTGTTAAGCTTATGGATCCTAGCTTCGTCCCATGTGATCTATACGATGTTGTCTGAAGATGGTAATCAATTTGTGCATTATGACTTCAAGAAAGCCGATCTCTACTTAGATGGAATGGCAACTACTACCAAAAATGGCTTACTGAAACTGACCATTAGCTCTAAGAGAACCACTGGGCATGCCTTCCACAAATCACCCATAAATTTTGCAAATTCGTCGTTTTCTTTTGCCACGGAGTTCATATTTGCGATCATCCCAGAAGAGGGTACAAGCTACGGACAAGGAATGGCTTTTGTTGTTTCTCCCAGCATCATTGCTCTAAGGTATGGTGCAGCAACATCTTATTTAGGGATATTCAATAGAACGAATGATAACAAAACCGAGAATCATGTACTTGCCATTGAGCTTGATACTAATGCAAGCTTTGAAGCCCTTGAAGAAAGTGATAACCATGTAGGGATAGATATCAACAGTATAGTATCAGTTGAATCAGTAGATAGTACTTACTTTGATGATAAGGTAGAGCCTTTTGCTCGCAAGCAAACAGAGAATTCATATTTGGATAGAGTATGATGGAGATCATAGATTGCTAAATGTAACTCTTGCTCCACGTGAGACCAAAACCAAGCTTGCCTCTCTTATCAAGATCCATAGACTTTTCCAAAATCTTCAAGGAGCAAATGTATTTTGGTTTTTCGGGGTCCACTGGTACAATCAGAAGTCATCAATACATTCTTGGATGGGCATTGGCAATAGGCAAGAAAGCACAAAGCCTTGACATTTCTCAAGTTTTGGATCTCCCTCAACCACCACCTAATCACTTACCTTTAATACTTGCTTCTGTATCAATAGTTGCTTTCTTGATAATAGCAAGTGGGATCGCGTACATTCACCACCAAAATAGGTATGCAGAGGTGTTTGAACAATGGGAATTACAATACGGCCCTCAGAGATTCTCCTTTAGGACACTATACAAAGCAACCAACGGTTTCAAAGAGAATAGGGTAATTGGAGCAGGAGGTTTCGGCAAAGTGTACAGAGGAGAGCATTTTGATGGCACTCAAATCGCGGTTAAGAGATTCTCTCATGGTGCCGAACAAGGGATGCAAGAGTACGTCGCAGAAATCGCTACTATGGGAAGATTAGCACATAGGAACTTGGTTCAACTTCGTGGTTACTGTAGACGAAAAGGTGAATTGCTATTGGTCTATGAGTACATGGTAAATGGAAGTCTTGCTGATTACTTGTTCCATGGCAATAATCTTAGTTGGATTCAGAGAGTTCATATTATAAAAGGAGTATCCTCTTGCCTTCAATATCTACATGAAGGTTGGGGACAAGTTGTGTTGCATAGAGATATCAAAGCGAGCAACATTCTTTTGGATGAGACTCTAAATGGGAAACTTGGGAGATTTTGGGCTTGCTATATTCCATGATCATGGTGCTACCTTCGAAGCCTCGCGTGTGGTAGGAACCATTGGTTACATGGCTCCAGAGGTTGCAGCAATGGGTGTGGCTAATGAGGCGACTGATGTGTATGCTTTTGGAGTTTTCATACTTGAAGTGGTTTGTGGGAGGAGGCCAGTAGAACCTGAAAGATCGCATGAGTAGAGGATTTTGGTTGAATGGGTTGCTAGTTGTGGGAGAAGAGATGCTTTAATGGATAGCGTTGACATTAAACTAGCAGGAAACTTCAGAGTGGAAGAAGCTGAGCTGATTTTGAAGCTAGGCATGCTCTGCTCCCAGCATGACCCAAAAAAGAGACCTACTATGAAAGATATAACAGAGTATCTTGAAAACAAAAGAAGTATCCCATACATGTCATTTGATGTAGCTGAGTTTGGGATACCTATTGTGCCCATTATAAGCGATGAAACGGTAACAGCACAAGGAACTACTTTGTCGTTTGCTAGTTTCTTATATGACACCATCACAGTCCTATTTAGAGGTCGTTAAAAAACATACAAAAAGATATATTTTTATTAGAGAGTTCTATGTTTTTATGTGAATAATTTGTGTTTACGATGGTGTTGTTGAGTGCAAATAAATAGTGGAAGAAGGGTGACTATGTCTACAATCTTTTCAAATGTATGAAAGTTTAATTGTATGTATCATTACAAAAAAATGAAAACAAAACTTTCAAGAAAAAAAACTTCTTCTTGTCAAGATATATGCCGACTCTTGTAAGCATGAACTATACACTTGCTATATTTAGTAACTTTATCAGTATCAATAAGGGATTCGTTCTTTTCCTTTTGATCCCTTAACAGTCTTCTCTTCAGGCGTTGGCCATATTATCCTGCAATATGGAATTAACTGTTATATATTGTTTGTTTTTTAGATGATTCATATAACGATTGTATAAACGGCAGAAAATAGTTTAATTGAAAATCCATTCTACATTTTAATGTGTTCTTCTTATAAATTTTCTTTCGGTTTCTGCACCCACATCTCATATATAGTAGAAACTCTATAATTTAATAATGTTAGGACTTTGATATTTTATTAATTTATAAAATTATTATTTTATTGGTTTTGAATAAAATAAATTATAAATAATTAATTAAGTAAAAACAATATTTTCTTTAAAGTTTGTAATATTTTCTAAAATTTCATTTAAAAATTATAGATGAATTGTAATAATAATTTAATTTTAATGAAAAATAAATACCATTATATTCATATTTTAGTATATTATCATAGTTATATATTTATATAAAGTTATGTTTATACTAATTATTAATTGAAGATATAAATGAGACCTATATTTACATTGGTTTCTTAAAAAATTATTATCTTATTAATTTATTGATTTATATTATATTTGAACTGGTTTAAATTGGAATTGGAAAAATTTATTAATTTATAGAGTTTATTAATTTATCAAATATTAATTTATAAAGTTTCCACTATATATACATACTAACAAAAAAAAATCATATGTATTCTGAGTTCATTCTGCATACCTATAAAGTTTTAAATTTATGTAATAAATTATGTATCAATAAACGAGATACTGAAAACATCTAACCAGGTAAGTTTAGCCTAGAGACCCTTAATTTGCGATTCAAAAATGAATGATTCTGTCTCTTGCCTTCCAAGAAAAATACTATTTAAAAGAGAAAATTCATTTTCTTCTTCGGAGTAGGAATTCAGTAAGAACTCAAACTTAAAGACAGTTTACTAGAACAAGAAAACACCCGGTATTAACTTGAGATAAACGTTCTTACATTCTTTGATAACATTAATCACATCACATTATATAATTTATTTATGCCACTAGCAATACAAATTTATGTATCATGTCAGTGTCGGTTTTTGTAAACCAAAACATCTCTCTTTTTCCTTTATGAAACTCATAGACACGACCAATATGTACTCTGCCAATGTCAGTCTTGTCGGTACTGAAGAGGCAAATACTTTATATTCTCGCTCAGTATTTCTGTACCATTCTTTCTCCATCGTTGATCAAATTCAAACAATCTGTTCCAATTATGAAACAAATAGACTAGCTAGATTCACATCGCATTGTGTATAAGTATGAGATTAGTAAATACTGTTAAAATGCATTTCATACCGTTCTTTTCCGAAATCATGTATACACTCCCTACAACAAAATAGCATTCCAGATAATGTTATAAAAGCTATTCTGTGAGGGCAATGTCTTTCACACTTTATGCAAATTGGTCGACTGAGACGGCCATTGGGGATTATATGGAACGTTACTTGGTTAATTATGATACTTTCACCCTGTTTCATAAATGGATCTGTCCCATATATGCAACTCACACACACATTGACGTTACACACATTGCACGTGTAAAAGGTACACGCATAGCTCGTATAGTAGCCACTACATATTTCTTTTTCACATATCTCACACCAGCGGCTGTGTCTTTCAAACCTATTACATTGATTATCCTTGTAGAAGAACGTGAGAAAATGTTCATCATATCTGCATTTCACCTTATATGGCACAGTGACACAGCTAAAACATATAAAGATATTACAATTGAAATGTTTTTCAATGCAAGTCATTAAACGTTTCTTTCTTTTTCCACATAAAAAACACATCTTGTAATCTTCTTGTGAAAATTTATAGTAAAGGGGATGTGGATGCAATTCTTGAACGAAAGGCTCGGAAACCAAAGCACATCGTACATCTAAATTGAAAGGACACTGAGCTTCACAGCACACATATGTAAAACCACAATAGTCATTTTCACAAGCTGTGCATTTGAAATTGTCACCTTTATGATCCACCTTAAGAGTAAGCGGATGAGGATGCAGTTGATGCGACATTCTACAAGGAAGATGTGCACATACCTCGTGGAGAGTAAAATCACATTTTATGCAATTATAAATGCCACCCTCATAGATAGGAAGGATGCATGCTTGACACCTTTTTTCACTATACTCTATATCATTCTCTTTCTTTTCAAGTTTCATATAATGGTTTGGATGACTGAAATGTTGTATGACTCCATCACCTATCTCTTCGAAAGTCTTAATATTTTCGTATTCAATTTCTGGTTCTCCTTCCAGTTCTTTCCCGTCCCACACATCTTCTTGTGTTGCACATTTAGAATGAACAACATAACTACAACCCTTCACACAAGAGTATCCCCCATAGTTTCCATCAACACTTTTGCGACAAACACCACAAGACGAATCTTTAACCGAAACAGAATGACACAAAGTGAAAGAGAGACGATGGTTGTGGCGGGATATTCTTATTGTGGTTGGTAAGTAGATACATGACTTGTGAACGATGAAATCACATTGGTAACATATGTAGATGAAACTGTAATTGCCATCACTCAGTGCACAAACATCACAAGTTAGATGAGAGTTTATTCTAGGAAAGAAGGTGAGGGCGTGGTCATGTATTTTTGGGTTGTTTATAGAGAGGATGTTGGGTTTTATTGCACAAAGAGGATGCAAACTAAAGTTACATATAGAACAAGAGTAAGAAAAACCTTCAATGTCTTCTCCACAACAATTACAATTATTGTAAAGGGAGTTGTTTCCTTGAAGATCATATTTGAGAGGATGTGTAGGGTGATAAAGAACTTTCATCTGTGGTGGAGATTCAACACATTCTTTGTGGCAGGTTATAAAACATTTGTCGCATTTAAAACCGCTGACAGTGAGTGTGTTTTGCCCACAAATACCGCAAGGCATATCTAATTTTTCGTGAATTTTTTTCTTAGACCAATCTAAGGGGAAAAGATGGTGAGATTCTAATAAAGACAAATCATCCTCCTTTTTTATACCACGTAAAGAAAAATAGGTACCTGGATCCATTTGATTTATATATCGTATCATAGGGCATACGAGAATAGTATGAGGAGGAGATAGAGGAGAAGAGTGGTCGAGGGAATCCATGGCTCGTAGGAAAGAGGTTGAGGCTGCACGTAATAGATTTGAAGAGTGATTGATTTAATTGGTGTTATGTGGAATATATTAGGACTCATACACCTTATACATATATAAATATATATAGTTGGCTAAAAGAGATCATATGCATATATTTACTCTAAATCATTTACACATGTGGGTTATCATTATTCCAATTACAATTGATAAAGATTAGAATAACGAAGTAGTTGATGCAAAGTATTCTTATTCTATATATACATGTTTAAAATTCCCCCAAGCAAAGCATGATGATAATATATACCTTTTTGTAGAAAGAGGTTACAAGAACCCTTGTTAAGAGTTTTCTTTAGTTGTTCGTAAGGAACCTAGTAAAATTTATGTTTTTTTTATTAATCGTCAGCTGAATAAATCTATTTTCAGTACGAATTCAATTTTGTTATTCAATTTCGTTAAAATAATACTCATTATTCACCACAGAATACTTGTTTTGATACAGTAAAAAATTTATAAATTAATATTGTTAGGATTTTGATATTTTATTAATTTAACAATTTTGAATAAAATAAATTATTTATTAATAATTAATTAAAATATTAATTTATTTAAAATTTATAATATTTTTCAAAAAAAAATATTATAAAATTAGAGATAAATTAAAAATATTTCACTTTAGTATAAAAACCAACAATATATCTATATTTTAATAGATTATTATAATTATATATTTTTATAAAATTATTTTATGGTAATTATTAATTTATGATATCAATGAAACCGTATATTTATATAAGTTTTTTAAAAAAAAATATTATCTTATTATCTTATCGACTTGTATTATATTTTACACTGGTTCAATTTGAAACTAAAGAAATTTATTATTATAAAATTTATTAATTTATCGTGTATTAGTTTATAAAATTTCTACTAGTTAGTCCTTAAGAATATGGTAATCGAGATTAAAAAGACACAAAACTCGATTTAACAAAGTTTTCATAAATTGAATCTATCGAGTTTAACTCTATAAGATAAATATAAAGATTCTAAGAGCATGTGCAATGCAAAAATCCCTAATAGAACTCTTACTTAATATTTAATTATAAAATTTATATTAAGAATCTTTATTAAGATATTTGTGTTTTCTCTCTTTCAATGGTAATCCCATCAAGGGTTCTTAAAAAAAAATTGTAACAAAAGTTTATATTTTGAATAAAACATAAAGAAGAATTGAGTTTATGATGGAAAAGTGAAAACTAAAAAAATCAAACCAAACAAAACTAAAGTAGATAATTCGTAGTTTATATTAACTCACACATGCTTAAGACCAAAAACCATATTCTTTAATGACTCAGGCAGAAGCAGTAGTCACGTCTTGTACAGACATACGCCAAGCGTACTCGCGAGCTCCGTTGGTGGTGCAACGACAAGTCTCGACCTGATCTCAAGTATGCATTTGTCTACCAATTCAATGGCTTCTTCAACGGACACGCTGCGGTAATGTATGTCCATTGTTGCGAAAAAGAAGTACGAGCCGTAACCGAAAACTCCCTTTTCTACCTTGTGAAGAGTTGCGATGT